CTCTTGCAATTCAATAGTAATTTCGATTTCATTTTTACTAATTCATTGAATATATGGCGAACGGTAATAGTAGGAACTATAAATTTTCTGCTCTACCTAACAATTTAGGTTTGAGAATGGTAAAATATTATAAAAAATGTATATTTTTGTAAATGAGAAGATCTATAGGAAAACAAAAAGAATTCTGGAAGTTTTAATATTTGATTCTTGGTTTCCTATAAAAATGATGATTAAGGAAAGAAACGATTTTCAAGTTAGTACTCAGGGCATCAAAATCAGGAATCAAGTATTAGTTGTTGAAATGCAAAAAAAGAAGTTGAAATTATTATATTAAATAAATACGCTGTGATTGAATGGAGTAGTAAAATTTTATTTTTTTTTACTAAAGTTTACAATCCATTTACTTAAAATGAATTTCATTTATGTTCATCTCCATTACAAAATAAAAATGTATAAATCAGAACTTTAAAGTACTCCGATTTCAATGGCCCTAAAACATGTTGTAAAGGACGATATTCTGAACAACTTTTTCCTTTTCCATTTACGGCAGCCGAACCTTAGTTTTCGAGATATTAAGGAAAAATTGTTGTTGTTACTGCATTGAATTGTCTATGTGTGTGTGAAGCAAGGCGACACTCCAATAAACGAACCAAAACCTAACCGGATACTCATTGATAACAAATGTGTATATAAACCCGACGTGCTCTAAATAAAGTAGTCATTAACCAAGCAGATTCAAACCAAGCAATATCTCTTTATTTCGTTAATACTATAGACCTTTTCCACCAGTCACATATTCTAATTGCTATGTTCATATTCTCTACGTAAATATTCAATAATTATAGTATTGTCTAGATTCCTTTGATTCCACGGACTTTGAAATAATTCAAGACAAAATCGATATTTACTTTGTTCATACCGAGATAGTTCCTCACGCGAACCGGTGATTTTAAGTATACGGTAAGAAGAGAGTTAAAGAGCTATGTGTGTATAGTGTGCGTAAGCTGCCAATCGCCGCTCCTTCACTATTTTCTTTCAAACATGATGACGCACCAGGAAGGACGCTTGGTCAAATATAGAACATAATCAGAGGTTTAAGATAGGTAATCTTGCAAAAATGCCTTCATAATATAAAATACCGCCAACATTAGTAGTAACCAATATGCACTACGAAGAGTTAGCCCAACAACACTATGGCAGGGTGAAATTTGGTTACATTCGAGAGCTAACCCTGTTAATTACTAAATTTCCACGCCACCTAATTTGAACCTAACTCAAACCTAACTGTGTGGTTAGGTTAACCTCGAATATTTTAAACTTCTTTTTGGCAAAATTTTTATACTTGTATTTATTATGCAATTCTGCTTCTAAAACTGTATTTTATGCAAACTATTCTGCTTTTAAAATTGTGAACAAGAACCCCAATCATTAGTAATCTTTTTACTTGCGTTGTGCCTAATGAAATTTCTGTTTCTTTCCTTAAACTCTTTCTTCTTGTCCGGTGTAACATTACATTAAGATTGATATTGAAGTTATCACTGAATGTTATGTTATTCTAAATATTTTCATTTTATATATATTGCTCTGCAAATTTTAGGTTATACATATTTCTAGCAAAGGGACGGATCACGAAATTGCTTGTGTTAAGACTCACTTCTATTGCGTTGACTTTGCCCTGCCATGCTGTTCTGCCGACAGACTGAGCTGATCCTAATAAAATCCGCGTTTCCATTGCGTCGGCATAGGCCAATCGGGAAGGGAATTAGGCAAAGACAAACAAGTTGGAAGTGTTGAGTATCTTTTTAGTATCATTTGAGAAGAGCACAGTTTCACTTGAGAAGCCAAACGCTATATGCTGATTCGTTTTCCATCCGATGTCGGTAAAATATCGAAGGAAATCGTGCTAGATGGAAAAAAAGAACCTTCAGTCATTATTTGAAATATCATTTCAAATAACATGTTATTTTTTATTACAATTATTTGAATGATTATAGAGTTTTTAATATTTGGAGCTGGTTTACACCTCTTCCCTTTAAACAAATTGTTGTGTAGATTTCATAAAATAAAATCTTTTTGTTCATTATCATTTTGCAGATTATTTCGTTTGATCAGTTTGAAAAAAAAGAAATAATGAAATAATTTATTATATTTAAAATCGCTTTATCTCAAATAAATTGATAATATTTTTATGTCCAAATAACGGTACTGAAAATAATGGTGTGAAGTAAATGATTTCAGACAGTTATATTTTATTTTTATTTGAAATAAAAATTGTGCAGTTCTGTGTGTCATCTATCGGTAGATCTCATCCTGCGAATTTCTCAGTTACGACAAATTTCCACAGAAAAAGCTTCTCATTTCTGCGATATATGCGTCAAAGCGAAGCGATTGATGTATAACATATGCAATTTCGTGATCCGTCCTTTTGATAGGAATGTTCCAATTTTAATTTGTAATCTATGCGATATTGCTATATTTCCTCTTAATAAAATTGATATTACATTATCATTAGAAGGTTAATCTACTTATAATTTCATATAATGAATAATTATTCTTCAAGATTTTTAAAAGTATTGCTGATCATCCTGGTTGCTTGATTTCCAAATTTGGTATAAAAAGCTTTTACCATACTTTTTAATGTAATAAGTATGTTTGCGATTTGCATCTGTACCTTTTTACAATTTCCCAGATCTATAATTCAATGTTTTGACCAGCGTATACACGAAAATAAGTTACGCAAAGGGATAGGCGATGCATGCGCAGGAGTTCCGCACAGCGGTGTGGTGCGTCTCCCGCGTGAACATTATAATTCTGAACTATGATTAGACAGAGGCCTAACGTCGCGTGGCGATTGTAATTTAGAATTACATATAATGTTTGCCCGGTAGACACGCCACGCCTCTGTGCGGGACTCCTGGCGCATCCGTTACCTATCTTATTCCTTGGAAGAGCTAACGAATGTCCCTATTGTACTACAGCTGTCGCTGCTGTATAGGTATCGCGTAGTGTCGCATCCGTAGCTAAGAAATGCGATACGATAGAGACACTTTTCAGCTTTCTGAGTGTCTCCGACACCGCCGCACGAGGCTAACTAGCAAGGATCGCCCCACCATATCACTTTCCTCCGCTCCCTAAAGTTGGAATTTAGCAGCGAATCCTGATAACCAGGATTATAACATACTAGGAAGAGAAATATAAATAAAAGTAATTACTTTAATCTCATCAACTTTATTTTATTAAAATAAATCATCAAATAAAAATATCCGAGTTATTAAAATCGCTATTAAAAGCGTTACGAGTTTATATTTTCTTTTACTGCTTAAAATATATAACTACAACAGATTTTGATTTTATAGCTATAACAGATTTTGATGATTGTTTTTGTACGCCGTTTCAGTCACCGATTTCAACGGCTTTGGAATATGTTATAAGGAACGATATTCTGAACAAATTTTCCCTTTAAAAAAAAATCAGCGGTCAACCCTATTTTTGGAGATATTTGTGAAAAACTATTGCCATCATAACGTTGAATTCTGCCTATAGTTGTGCATCTGTGAGTGCGTATGCATCAATTTGATTGCTCGTCGCTGCGCCGCACCTGCCGCTCAACTTCTGTTTATGGACAAGGATCATACATGGACTTTTTGTATGGTCGATCTCATAGCTGAACCCTATTACGTGATCAACTCCAAATCGGCGAGACCGTAGCTTTTCGACAAGTTCACCAAAAATTTAATTACATCCCTTTTAGAGATAGATCCTTAATTGCAAATATCTGGGAAACTAGAGAAGTCCACATATATTAGGGATGTGATTAGGCTGTTAGTGAACATGTTGAAAAGCTACTGCTGTACGTACAAAAATACATGCAAAATGCGGATTTCTTGCCGTTTCTGTGTATGAGATTTTTATTGTCTGTCAGTTATCGCGACTGTACAGAGTATCTCATTTGAAGTTACTCATTTGAAGAACTCAATTTTCTCCTAAACTATAGCTCGTTTCAAAAAATATTTCAAATGAACTTTACACTGTTTCGGGGGGGGGGGGGCAACCTATAAAGATCACGAATTTTGGCTGGGTGGGCGTGCTTCCTAGATATCAAAGTGATCTTTCTTGGTTCTTTAAAATTAAACTGCATATTTTTTAATATAAGCAGATAGTGCATTTCATGATCAATTCATTGACTTATAATACTTTGGTCGCTCAAGGTTATTTAATGCCGTTTAAAGTTTACTTTCGTTATATACGAAAAAATGTTCCTTATCTCATCTATTGAAAAGGACGACCACGACATGGATTAATTCTGTCTCTGAATGATAGCTTCGTATCCTTCAATGGTCTTCAATTAATTTGGCGGCAAACATCTCTAATTCCGTTTCATATTTTCAACAGTAGTGGGTTCTGGTAAACTTCATCTTTTATGCAGATCCACAAGAAAAAGTCTAGTGGTGGTAAATCTGAAGATCTGGGTGGGAAAGGGATCTAGAATTGTGGGCGGTAGCACCATCATGTAGGAACCACATTCCAAATCTGATAGAGAGGGGAACGTCTTCCAAAAGATTTTGCTGTCCATTGTTCAGAAAATTGTTATAGCGTTCTCCTGATAAGTTTTGAACGGCATTAAATAACCTTGAGCGAGATCTGGTCTTCAAAGATCAAAGTATAATAGGTTGAGGAGGTGGGATCGGCGACGGGAAGAGAGAATTGAACCCGGTTACAATTAGACTATCTTTATTTACAATTGGCGTCGGAACCAAACTCGCGATGCTCGCGTACCGTTCCCGACGAGGGTTCTTACTGAACTAACCATTCGCTCACCGATGCATCCCATCCAGATCATTCTTTCTCATTCTCACGGTTCGCTTTCACTCTGTCCTGGCTAGACGCATTCATTCTACGCGACACTCAAACCAATCGTCTAGACATTCGCTCGACGCTAACGCACAGCATGCAGCCCGGCCCATTCGTCCAAACATTCTTACGCCTTAAAACTAAACACATGGCGGAGACGTGGCGCCGGCTTGTCGCCGCCACATCACCCCCCCGCCAGTGATTGACTCGATCACGAAACTTGCAATCGGTCCGGGAAACGCACTCTTCTCCCGGACCGTGTGGTGCGTAAACCGGCACCTGGTGGTACTA